TTTTCTAATTCATATTCTTTATATTGATAGGAATAGCATGAGACAAACAGCAGATCAACTCAATTTTTCAATGTGAAGCCTAACCTAGGTTTAAAAAATTTAATAGTTTGTTAGACTTTGACGACAACCAATATTCAATATAGTTTGTTAGAATAGGAGGATAATTAGAATAATTATCATTCAATTCTTACACGTTTTATATTTGTAATCAAACGTTAGAATGAGAATCATCATTTCACTCCCATTCCATTCTCACATTACTGCATACCAAATGCAACATTAAGAGAATGAAATAAATGATAATTGAAAAAGACAAGAAAAAAAAAAAAAAAAAAAAAAAAAAAAAAAAAAACCCCACTTCATCAACATAGTCAAATTCCATTCAGAAATAAACCAGTATATTCACACTATTATCTAAGAATGAAGAAATCAATCTAAGCATATACGACCATTCACTGAGATGAATGAAGAAATCAGTCTAAGCATATACAACCATTCACTGAGATTTTAAGACAAAAAAACAGATAAAGTACAAGAAGCCCTCATTCTTTTTATTATGTTTGTATAAATTTCTATATTTTCAATATTTGGAGCAAATTGTCTTCTGATAGTCAATTTTGACCAAATTTTTTAATAAAAATTCTAAAATGCCCTTAGATGCAACTATGAAAGGAATTTTTTTAGCACATCCTTCATGTGGACCCTATTAAGATGGTGCTACCGCGTGGACCCTATTAAGATGCTACCTCGTAAGGTTGGCTATGCACAAATTTTTGCCACGCACATCAGCAATTAAGCAGTAGTTGGCTGTAATATTTGACCATTGAATTTGTATATGACTGGCTTTTAGCGCCATTCCGATGGCCTTATCCGATCAATTAGTTTTTGCTCATCCTCTTTGCTTCTGTCCAGATTCCCAAAAAAAAGAAAGAAAAAAAATGAAGCTTCCTCTACTTGCAACCATTATCACCATCTACCTCTTCTTCCAGTACCACCTTAGATTTATAGTCAGCAGTAACTCTGTTTCCCCATATCGCCCCTTGGATGATTTCGCCCTTAACTGCGGCTCTACTGGCAACTCATTTGCTTTTGATGGCCGGGAATGGATTGGAGATATCACCAATTCTAAATTTACTTCATCACAAGTACTCAAAGGCAAATCAACGAGCTCAAAAACCATCCACCAATCACTTTTCGTTGAACTCGTTCCCTACATGACTGCTAGGATCTCTCGTTCTCAATTCACTTACACATTTCAATTAAGACCGGGTCAGAAATTCATTCGCCTGCACTTTCTTCCAGCTTCATACCATGGCTTCGATAGATCAAAAGCCCTTTTCACTGTTAAAGCTGGTCCTTACACCCTTCTTGACAACTTCAGCGCTTCCCTTGCTGCTGATGCTCTGGGTGTAAAATATTTTGCTAAAGAATTTTGCGTCAACATTGAACAAAATCAAGTTTTTAGCATAACATTCTCTCCGTCTACAAGTAGTGCAACTGATGATGATGTTTATGCTTTTATCAATGGAATTGAGGTCGTCTCCATGCCCACTGGTCTTTATTACTCTCCCGATGATGATTTGGGTGCTCGTGTCGTTGGCAACAAGTTTCGATACTATATTGATAACAGCACTGCACTAGAGATGGTTTACCGCTTAAATGTTGGAGGGAGATCCATTTTGTCAGTCGAAGAAGATTTGGATATGTACCGTGTTTGGTCCGAGGACAAGAATTACATGATACAATCAGGTGTATTATCAGTTACCAGTACCACAAAGGCTGTGATCAAGTATGCTAACATACCCACCTACACTGCACCAATGAAAGTATACAGAACATCTTGGTCAATGGGTCAAAACAAAGTAGCAGATCAGATGCATAATTTAACATGGAAATTACCTGTGGATTTGGGATTCAGGTACCTGGTTAGGCTCCATTTCTGTGAGCTTGAATCCACGACCACTGAGAGCGGCAGCCCAAGGGAGTTTTCTATCTTCATAAACAATCAGATTGCTGAGACTAATGCAGATGTAGTGAAGTGGAGTGGTGGGTACGGGGTTGCACTATACAGGGACTATGTGGTGAAAATAGAAGGAAACAAATTCGAGGGCAAGCATAATCTCATTGTAGCTTTGCAGCCCCAGCATGACTCAGATGCTGATCCAATCCTAAACGGTATAGAAACATTTAAGTTGGCCAACCCGGACAACATTCTTGCCGGTCCCAACCCCGCGCCAACAGCACATTCTTGCCGGTCCCAACCCCTGCATGGAAAATTGGTTTTAGCTTTCGGAAGCCACAATGTAATTACAACAGGTGTGATACTAATACTCACTCTCTTGAATATCATAGTTTACCAGTTAAATACTTGGGGATCAAACTCTGGAGAAAAGAACTTATCATCATCAACACTGTCAAAGGAGGGAGTGTGCAGACGTTTCTCGTTTGCAGAGATCCAGTTAGCGACCAATAACTTTGGTGATGAATTCATCATAGGGAAAGGCGGATTTGGTAATGTGTACAAAGGCCTTATCAATAATGGAGCCAAGACTGTTGCCATAAAGCGGTTGAAATCGGAGTCCAAACAAGGGTTTGTTGAGTTCTGGATGGAAATTGAGACCCTTTCGACAATCCGGCACGATCATCTCGTCTCTTTGATAGGCTACTATGAAGACTCCCAGGAGATGCTCCTAGTCTATGAATATATGGACAATGGGAGTCTTGCTGATCATCTCTACCAAGCTAGAAGAAAGGGTGATGTCAATTCTCCTCTCTCTTGGGAACAACGGCTCATCATCTGCATTGGTGCCGCACGTGGATTGGCCTACCTTCATACCAGTAGGGACGCCCATCATGGAGTCATACACCGCGACGTGAAAAGCTCAAACATACTGTTGGATAAAAATTGGGAAGCTAAGATTTCTGACTTTGGGTTGTCTAAAATGGACAATGCAGGCCAGTCACAAACCCACATTAGCACTGCCGTTAAAGGTACATTTGGGTACTTTGATCCAGAGTATTTCTTCACTTGTAGGCTGACAAAGAAATCCGACGTTTACGCCTTTGGTGTGGTATTGTTTGAAGTGCTTTGTGGGAGGCCGGCGGTTGATGTAAGACTTGAAGAGGAGCAACATAGTCTAGCACAATGGGCCAAACATTGCATCAGAGAGGGAACACTTGATCGAATAGTTGATCCCAGCGTGAGGGAGCAAATATCGCCTTCTTGCTTGAAGGTGTTTGCCGAAATTGCCACCAAATGCTTGCACAATAATCCAAATGAACGGCTTACAATGGCTGGAGTGGTGGCTGGCCTGGAGTATTCATTCTCAGTGGCAAGTGGTGGGGATGAGGTATATCCAACTGGGCAGATCTTGCCCACCCACAATTTGAGAATCTTCACATTTGCAGAATTGAAAGCCGCAACTAGAAATTTCGGAGCTGATACAGTGTTGGGAGAAGGATGTTTCGGGAAAGTTTACAAGGGTCGGCTTGATGAGAGGGCGACATCTAAGAACGGAAGTGGAATGGTCATTGCTGTCAAGATGTTGAGTTCAGATAGCATGCAAGGATTTGAAGAGTGGAAGGTAGTTCAACTGTACTCAGTCTGTCATTTTACTTATTTGATCTTGGGTGCTTTTAATTTGCCTTTCATAGCTCAATACGGAATACTTGTCATGTATTCAATCTCAGAATCATAGACTAGAATTTAATTATTTCTTCTTTTCATGTATGCCTAAATTTTCTAGATTTAGCTCTTCTCTATTGTCCACGTTCTTATAATATTATTGTAGTATGAGAAGTGAAACTATTCCTCATATTTCTAGATTTCCTAAGTGGAATTTATAGAAGTTCTTCTAAATGCTGTCATGTATTTGTTTTTTCGTCTATTTCTGCAGTCTGAAGTGAATTTCCTAGGAAGGCTTTCTCATCCTAACCTTATTAAGTTGCTGGGATACTGTCGGGAGGGTGAAGAGCTGCTCCTTGTCTATGAATTCATGCAAAAGGGTAACTTGGACAACCACCTTTTTAGAAGTAAGTCTGTGTGTGTGCGTGTGTGAATTAATGCAAATGTGCTAACATACTAGTCAGTTGAATTCATTTAATTGGTTCACTCTACACCAAATGCTTTGACTAGTGCAGGGGGATCAGATGTTCAGTCACTTCCATGGGGCATACGGCTTAAGATTTTAGTGGGAGCAGCTCGGGGCCTGGAATTCTTACACACGGCAGGAAAACAAGTAATTTATAGGGACTTCAAGACAGCGAATATATTGCTTGATGCGGTAAGTTATGTGCAATCAACAGATTAGTATCACATGATATATAATAAAGGATTATGAACCCCTAAACTGATTCTAACATTTTCTTCATTTGTTGTTTTTTGCAGTCCTATAATGCCAAGTTAGCAGACTTTGGTCTGGCAAAATTAGGCCCCTCTGAGAGTAATTCCCATGTGACAACACGAATTATGGGCACATATGGCTATGCTGCTCCTGAGTATATTGCGACAGGTAACCCCCCTGAACCTTTTTGAGCTTCATCTTTTCTAAGGCTAAAGTTGATCAGAATCGAAGTTCTGCCCTTTGCATGATCTAAAGCCACTTGAGCTTGGCCATAACTAAATAAATGGTGTCATATTACTGACATCATGCTTATTTAACAGGACATCTGTATGTAAAGAGCGACGTGTATGGTTTTGGCGTTGTATTGGTTGAAATGCTAACAGGCTTGCGGGCAATTGACCCAAAACGTCCAACTGGGCAACATAGTCTGGTTGACTGGATTAAACCACGATTATGTAACAGAAGGAAGTTGAAGGGCGTAATGGACTCCCGGTTTGAAGGGAAATATCCTTCCAGAGCTGCTACACAAATGGCTCAACTTGCTCTAAGATGTCTTCATCATGACCCCAAAGAAAGGCCATCAATGAAAGAAGTTGTGGAGAATCTAGAACTGATTGAAGCAATTAATGAAAAACCAAAGATCTAGCCTAGCAACCTTTGTACCATCGTTCCCAAGAGTAAGATAAAAATCAAGCCTAGCAACACTGATCACCACTAGAGTGATGACTTTGATACTACACTTCCTATGAAGAGCTCTTTGCATAGATGTTTTTGTTGGTTGTTTCTTACATTTAACTCCCCTATTTCCTCTATTATTCAATGCCTCCATGTATGTAATGAATTTTGTTCTTGTAGTGGTGATTTGTGGTAAGCATTTGAAACTTTTAGCACTAAAACTTTAGTTATTTCTGTAGTTTGTTGAGGCATTGTTGTTTATGCTTGGGGGAATTTATTTGTAGTGACAATTAGGAGCCCTAATGGTCGTGGTGATGATGAAGGTCCTTATATTGCTTAAATCAAGAGTTGGACTTGACTTCAAGGTAGGATTATTCCTGAGACTCTTCCATCTGAGCAACCTTGACAGATAGTCATTGTTCTTTGTTTTAATTTTCTTTCCATGATTCTTTTTTTGTGTTAACTTATATTGACCAAATTAATCCAAAATATAGCAAGTGGTTGAAAATAGGCACACCAATGAGCTCTCTCAAAAGACCTCTCATATTTTGAGATTGTCAAAAATTGCTAGAATGAAAATAAAGCACTCCAATGGGCTCTCAAAACATGGAATGATAATTGTGTCAAAAAATAGCATTTTGAATGAAATGCATCATTGGAGCATAATTGCAAAAATGTAGAATTTTGACACTGTAGCACCTCTCAAAATATCGATTTGGCATGGAAATATAGCATTTTACATTGGAGATGCTCTAACTGAAAAACTTGAATGGGCTCAAGAAAAATATGGAAGAGCAGAGGAGATGAGGAAAGAACTGAGGAAAACAATTTCTGACCTATGCTCCGAGTTAGCCAAGAGCTAGTTGAAGACCTCTCCTACTGTCACAAAAATCTCTTTGCCGAAGCTGAAGCAAAACTGCAGTACACGGTTGACTCACCCTCTATTTATCCCCCATTGATACAAAACCCATGCTTGATGTAGGTGCATCTTCATCTTTTCCGGCCACGGTCGCCGTCCCTGAAGTTTATCCAGCAGCTCAGGTAAACCCAATTTCCAATTCAAATTTTGGTTCTCAGAAAGATACAGGCTGTAAATTGATGAAGTTGAAATCTAGAGGACTTCACAATGAGAGCTTTAAAGAGCAGCACAAACCAATACACTAAAATGAAAAACATTGCTACAGGATTCATAATTCTTTACTTTACTTGCTGAAAATTCATAATAAATAATGAGAATGTTCAACGATGAAACACTAAACATTTTTTATACAGACCAGAAGAGAATCACATTATATTTGACAAATGCTAGAAAGTAAGTTGAGGTTGAAAACTTCGGTCGATACATCGAGACAATCATACAACTGCAACTTTCCTCTAAGCTCTCAGCTGGAAAATACAAAACAAAACAAGCACGATAAACAGTTACCGACGCAAATAACATAGTCAATTAAGTCCAGATTTACTAAAACCATAACTGCAAACAGTTTGGTAACAGCATGTATGTCCGCGTGAGTTATTTTCAGTTTCATTGCAAAAATAAATATGTTTATGAGTGATCTTACACTGTTAGGTTATCTGATATATTTGCTCTGGTAAGAACAATATGAATCATAATCTGTATTGAGACGGTGAGAAGTATAAGACAATCCTAAAATCTGAACATAACGCACCTATAACATAAATGTGAGTACATGATGATGCTTAAGGGAGAGATCCATACTAACAGCACTGTAGATGAAGGATTAAGTTAAAGATGGAAAATTGAGAAAGTGAAATATTTGATAGTTCAACCCAAAAAACAAAAGAACAAATGTCAAAAGCTTGCCCTGATGTTCAAAGTAGTATACCTGGTTTTTTTTGTATATAAAAATAATTATTATAATAATAATTAAATAAATAAAATTATAAAAAATAATTCTTATAACTGCCTTGAATACTAAACAATTAAACATATTAAAGAGTACTGTTGAAAATAAGAGATTTAGAAGCTTCTATGCAAACAGACTTGTAAAGATGTTTTAATAGAATCAAATATAAAATTCTTTGCAGATATTCGTATAAGACATCTAAAGCCTCAGTGGGAGTTTAATTCTATGGTTTATCTTCTTTCAACTCCATTTTTGCTGGCCTTAATTCAGAGGGAGACAGAAAACAATTAATATCACATATTTACAGGAAAACAAATCACAAAAAGACGAACAAAGTTTTATTGAAGTGGATAAAATGCATTGATGCAATGGCTTAAATTAATGAACACAGCAGAGAGTTGGTATTTTTCAAAGATTAGGTAGTTTAGTCACTGTCTTGAAAATAAATTTTTATAACTTGGGAAATTGTTAGTCTTTAAATGAGGTTGTTTGGAAATTGTATGCTGATGACTTTTCGACTACTTGTAAGCTCTAAGGCAAAAAATATGATTTAACAATAAGAAAAACTAACAAATGTAACATAAATGGATAAAATAACATGAAAAAATTAAGAAAAAGTAATTACATTAAAGCATTAAAAAAAAGAAATATCACCTAAACCAGATGTGTAACCAGATGGAAGATGTTATTTTAGATAGCCCAATTTTATTTAGCTGGTTGTACATTTGCAATAAGATAGTGATGCTTTATGTTAATTTTTAGTTGTCAAATCTTTCTTTAATTACTTTACAGAATTTCTACTCCTATTCCCACTAAATTAAATTTCAAAGAGTTATTGCAAACCAACTGATATAAAAGCACTCAACAAAACAATACTAAAATAAAAGCAAGGGAATTAATTATGGAAAGAAAAAAAAAAAAAGGCAAGGGAATGAGGGGAGACGGAATTTGTGCAGCATGCATACAGCATAACAAAATCAAATGAAAAGACATTAATATTTAAATAAAATTCATGTCTTTTCTCTTTTGCCTTATGATAAGAATATGCAATAAAGAAGACAAACTAATAACCAAATAGAAGATCTTTTAGCATTCTTTTGAAATTGGAGACACAAGGTTTTTCGTCTTCTTTAAGCTAATGTACATGCATAGTGAAGTGTTCAACTAGAGACAAGGGGTATTCCACATCTTGTAACGTTGAGGATATTTTTCACATCACACACTATTTACTATGCATGTACTTTCACGCTCTAAAGGATTGCAATTAGAGTACATTAGAATTTTAGGTTTTGGGTTGAAAGAATGGGAAAATAAGCATTGTAGCCAATCAAGCATAAAAATTCTCATTATATTCTATCCTTTATAAATGCGAGTTCATTGTCAACAATGTTGACCCTATGTTGAGCATAATCATCCATTAAAGTCAGTCCTAGATTGAGCTTAATCATCCATTTAGAAATATTTCTCCTACCATTTAAGAATTTGGGTCAACTATATGTCGCACAATTTGAATGTAGACATTATTTTCCTCCACCTATCTCTTATTTACAAGATGTGCCATATACAATTTATTAGGTATGATCATCTAAAGGATCAAGTAGAGCAAAAAGGCTAAGGTGTGAAAAAAGGGGAAGGAAGAAGTTGAGAGAAAATGGAAGGCAAGCAAAGCGAGGCAGGCAACAAAAACTAAGAGGGCAACAATGTAAAACCAAGCAGCAGAAACTATGATTGCAACTGGGCTATTTAAAGGACAAAGACAAACTGGGCTATAGAAAATAACAACCAGCAGGAAACAATATTCCAACAGAAACAAAAATGCAAGACAACACTATTCTTCCACCAGCAGGCATATTTTCTAAATGCAAACAAACATAAAGCATCAATTTCAAAACATCAGAATTTCAGCCAAGATCATAATCATGGATATTCCATACAACCTTGAGCCAAATATTAGAAGGGGCAAGTTTAAACTCTATCCAGCCTAAGTAGTCTAAATCTAACAGCATTGAAAATTGCAGCTTCCAAATAAGACATGCATAAACACGTAAAAATTATATTTATATCATTCATAAACATATAAATTCACATATATAATATTAAACAATTACCTCTGAAAACAAGTACGACTAAGTTCTTCTAACAAACTTGGCAGGCCATGCAACTATTCCTCCCTTAGCTTCTTAAAGCTAAATGTAGTGTATAACATACTTGCGGTCTTGCCAAAGCTAGCCAAAAAAAAATGAACATATTCGAAGTATAGTTAGTCCACAAAAAGAGAGGAAAACATGCTTGTAATTCTGTTTTTTGTTATAGTCCTATATTTTCACTTCCATAATTATACCATATGTGTTTTGCTAAAATAAAAATAAATAAAAAAATAAAATAAAACATGAAAAACAAAAAGGCAAAAAAAGAATAAGAGATGTATATGAACAAACAAGCAAAAAAAAAGAAAAAAAAAAAGAAAAAGAACTAATAGAAGAACTTAATTCAAAAACGTGAGGAACAAAAACCAAAAGCAAATTTGGAACCCATTTTCATCCAATACTCAGAGAATCTGTTCACCTTTAAAATTTGCCAAAAAAATTTAGTGCTGCAAAAGGGTATAAGGACTCCATTCAAACAAACAATGGCCCATTAACTAAGGAATACCACTATATAGCAATGCTTTATATTATACCAGCAGTGTACGATAATACAGATAAAAAATAATAATAAAAAAAAAATAAAATAAAAAATTGTCTCCAGCAATTTACCACAAGCATGTCCTAAAATCTGCACTCAGAATTCAACTAGAGCTAAACTATATAGAGTATTTATGCAGTCTAAAGTCTATTTGACTATGGCCTTTCCTACAATAGGTAACATAGTTGCAAGTAAAACCTTCTAGTTGTGATATTTTGAGTGATGTTATATATTAAAGTCTTAAAGAGGAAAAATAAAATAAAAAGGGATAGAAGAATTTTATTACTAGGTCAAGCCCAAAAAGGGAGACAACCTAAACTTCCACTCTATATCAAAAATAGGACCTAAATCATGCTTTCAGGGTTTTGCTAATATGCTTTGTGCTAGTTTATGTCACAGTAAAAAAAATTCAAAGATTAGGTTAATGATTGCAAATTTGAATTTCTGTGAACTGTAATACTGCCTTGTCCGTGAGAAAGAGCGAAAACCATGAGAAATAGAAAAGATGAGGCTCTTACCGGTGGTGACGACGATCGTAGGTCGGCGGGGTGAGAGAAATGACCGTGAATTGCAGACATAGTAGACGTTTGGCTGGAATTAGGGCTAGAGTGTTCTCTTTTCTTTTCTTTTTGTGGTACTGGTGCGAAATTTTAAAGGATAAACTGCAATGACTTTTCCGAAATTTAAACTAATTGTAACTAAATCTGAAATTTGTCATTTTATTATAATGTGACTCCTGAGATTTTCTTCATTTTGCGATGACCTCCATCCATACAAAAAATAATATTTTTTATTAAAAAATTTATCATTAACAATGTAGAAAGACGTTGTTACTCTTGTAAGGTAAACAATTGACCATAAAATTCATGTTGAGTGGACCAAACTACCCTTAAACCACACCACAGACCATTCTCTCTCTCTCCAGCGCACCTTCACCGCTTCACTGCCGCCGTCACTTCTCTGCTAAATCGATACGTAAAATCCAAATCAAATAATGAATTTTGCACACTTTTAATAACTGAACGACAATATGAACCACACAATGACGAGAGAATCCAAGCTCTCTAAAACCCTAAAATATGGATACTCAACCAACTGATCTCAACGACTATTCACCTTCATCGACCATCGTTAACTTCGACTCTCCAGTCCCTCTTCTCCGAGGACCTCTCGCCGCCGGTTTACCGGACGACCCATCTACCGGAATTTTCGTCCTGGCATTCAAGAACGCCCAATCTTGGTTCTCCGCATACAAAGCTTGCGAATCCCATATCACCACACAATGCGAGGTCGGTGCCGGAATCGGCTGCGCCATCAGCGCATCGAGCAAGTGTAAGCCCGTGGTGGAAAACTGTATTGGGTAGATCGAAAATGGACTTTACGGATAGAGCCAAATGCGAAGAGCGTTTTTACCTAAAAAAAAAAAAATGCGAAGAGCGTGAAATGGCGATCTGTGTCCAGGCTTCCAAAGAGAAATTTGCGAAGGATAAGTTTTTGCCGGCATTTAGAGATGCTCGAATTGTGTTTTGTGATAGGAAGGTGGATTGGAAGGAGACTTCAAAGTTGATTTATTCGGCATCGTTGTCGTCGTCTATGTTGCATACGAGTTTAGGGTTTGATTCGATTGGGTTGGACCAATTAGGGTCTTGGATTGAATCCAAGTGTGTTTGAAGTGACAAATTGCAGAGGGAGTGACTTGTTAGGCACCAATTATAGAAAATCACAAGCTGGTTTTGCGTCTCAAAATTTGGTGAATTGGAATTTCCAATCACTGCTATTTTTTGGCGATGGAATCGAGTATGAGAACAACATCGTCCAGTGAATTTCAGGAGAGCGTTTATGAGTCAAGTTCCATTTCCCTGAGCGTCATGGACAATGGATCGATGATGGTGGTGGTGTTGGGTTAAGATGGATCGGTGATGGTGGTATTAGTTCAGAATTGATCAACGATGGTGGTGTTCTTGGTTGGTGGTGAGAGGTGGAGGTGTGGTCGGAGGATGGTGATTGTCTCCGATGTGAACTCGCGATGCTCCATCTGCTTCAATGGTTGTGCTTGGTGGCAACCGTGATAGTGCAGAGTAACAGAGAAGATTAAGGGAATATTGAAAAAAAATAAATAAAAAGAAAAGAAAGAAGAATATTCTTTTGGGTAAAAGGGTCATTTGTTATTTTTAAGATAAAAATCATTTCAAGTGTATAATAGGAAGCTAGGGTAAATAAGTAAATTTTACATAAAATCTGATAGAGGGATGTCTTTGCAAAAAAATAACAAACCTCAAATTTAGTTACAATTAAATCAAATCTCAAAGGAGTATATTATAGTTTGCCCAATTTTAAAATAGCCTGAGAAATTAAGCGGTAAAATTTGTCATGACAAATGGTCCTAGTTTTGAAAAAAAAAAAAAATCCTTCATTTAATCTTGGAGAGAGTTATTAAACTCATAAAACCTCGAATCCATTTTGATTAGTAATTAAAATATAAATAATATTCTTTAATTAGCTATTAAATTGTTTTTCTTCCAAAGTAAGGGACAACTCAAATATCAATTTTTTTTTTTTTTTTAATTACCTTTATTTTTACCTTCGCAACAATATAGCTATTTTGACACTTGATAAGAGAGATACAACTAGATTACAAATACGGATTCAAGTTACCAACTTTGGCGAAAGTTTCCTTTTGGAGAAGGAATTTTCCTTTTCTTCTTCTTTCCATTCTCATCAACTTATGGCTTTTTTGGACAATTTTCTAAGTATAATTATATTTTACAATTAAAGCCATGAAATAAGTAAAAATAATAAAACAATGTAAAATCATAAATAAACTACTATTAAGAGAATAAAACATGCAAGAAAAGGAGTTTAAATGTATAACATTCAGCGCCTAACAGAATTCTACCTAACTGATTGGCCTTAAAATCATTTTTCGCTGTGAAAGAGTAATAATATTTGGGCCAAAGCGTTAGGCAAAATTTTTTGACCGAATACATTTGATTGGTTAATAGTGCTAGAGATAAAGAAGTGGAGGGCACTTTTATTTATTTATTTATTTTTACATTTTGGCATGCATTCATCAACATAGTCAAATTCTATTTAGAAATAAATCAATATATTCACACTATTATCTAAGAATGAATAAATCAATCTAAGCATGTATGACCATTCAATGAGATAAAAGAAGAAATCAGTCTAAGCATATACAACCATTCACTGAGATTTTAAGACAAAAAAAGATAAAGTACAAGAAGCCCTCATACTATTTATTATAGCCGGTATAAATTCCTATATTTTCAAGGACAATACTTGCCTACTCACCGGTGAATAAAAAATTCATGCTTACCCCTGATATAGCGCAAAATTAGTGGAACGCATGTCCCTATAATATAAAATAATAAAAATTAAAAGATTTGAGAGATTATCCAGATTAAACCCAATATGATCCAAATCTAACTCTCTGTCCCCCTTTCTCTCAGGCTACTTTGGTTTCTCTTTTTGTCCAGGGAGTGAATCAGAAGGGGATCTAGTAAAAAATAAAAATAAAAAAGCTAAAATTCTTAAATAAAATAATATTATAAGATACAAACAAAGTTTTGGATGATAAATACAAAGAAAAACTATAAATGTAATAATACATAGGTATTTGTTTTCCGCCAAAAGAAAAAGAAGACAAGAAATAAGTAATAACAATCTATCCTGCAATCAACAAGTCATCTATCAAACTATGTCAATCAGATTTTATATAATTTGGTGTACTTTAGATAAAAACAATTGATACGTATACATAAGGATTACACATTAAACCATGAAACATAAATTAAAGTTAAAACTTCTGGTATTAATAGATTAGGGTTTTAGCGAAGTAGTTTGAGAGAGGGAGAGTTAAATTAAGAGTTGATTTGCATCCTTTTGGGTTGACTTGGCAAGCATTCAATTTTTTATATATATATTTTTTTATTTTCTATTTTAGGGACACTTGTCACATTATTTTTGCTCCACATTAGGAATAACCCGCGCGTTTCTACACCGTGTGTATCTCTCTCTCTCTCTCTCTGTGTTCTCTTCCATCACTCTCTTCTCTGCTTAGATTGGGTGGGATTAAAAAAAAAAAAATAGGAGAAGGTAGAAAATTGAGAGAAGAAAAGAGACCAGGTCGATATAATCTATTTATATTCTTTCATACTACCAATTTAATTCAAATAAGCCTTTTTCTTGCTTCGATTATGAACCCAATTATTAAACAGAGATTCTATCCCCTGCGTAAATTAATTAATTCAGGCTATCGCTGTCACAGGGTAAAAGTGGCCGAGCCACAACTCCATTGGTCAATATGTTTGCACTTACTGATTAATGAAGAGGAAAACAACAAAAACGAACAATTCTAATGCTCTCTTCTTCATTCATCTGTATTTAAAAAATTTACTAATAAAAGCATATCTTAGCTTAAAAGGTTTTTAGCACATCCTTCATGTGGACCCTACTTAGATGCTAACGTGTATGGTTGGGTATGCACAAATTTTTGCCACCCGCATGAGCAATTAAGCTGATGTAATTGGCTGCAATATTTGACTATTGTATTTGTATAATATGGTAATAGCAATTTTAACAATATATTTATGGATCAACCACTCCAGAAGAGAAAAAGAAAGAAAAGAAAATGTATGGATCAACCACTCCAGAAGAGAAAAAGAAAGAAAAGAAAATGAAATGGGACGACTAATTTTGGCTGTTGCAATTGCAAGCTTTTTTTATGTGAAGCCACCTAATTGTCAGCCCCACACTAATGCAAATCCTAACAAAACTGTTTGCCGATGGCCTTATCTCTTTCCCATCGATTAGTTTTCGCTCATCCTCTTGTTTCTGTCCGGATTCCCAAAAAAAAAATTAAAAAATTAAAAAAATGAAGCTTCCTCTGCTTGGAATCATTATCAATATCTACAAGCTCTTTTTTGTTTGGCAGATTTTAGTTTTTGCTCATCCTCTTTGCTTCTGTCCAGATTCCCAAAAAAAAAAAGAAAAAAAATGAAGCTTCCTCTACTTGCAACCATTACCACCATCTACCTCTTCTTCCAGTACCATCTTAGATTTATAGTCAGCAGTAACTCTATTTCCCCTTATCGCCCCTTGGATGATTTCGCCCTGAACTGCGGCTCTACTGGAAACTCATTTGCTTTTGATGGCCGGGAATGGATTGGAGAGTTCACCAATTCTAAATTTACTTCATCACAAGTACTCAAAGGCAAATCAACGAGCTCAAAAACCATCCACCAATCACTTTTCGTTGACCTTGTTCCCTACATGACTGCTAGGATCTCTCGTTCTCAATTCACTTACACATTTCAATTAAGACCGGGTCAGAAATTCATTCGCCTGCACTTTCTTCCAGCTTCATACCATGGCTTCGATAGATCAAAAGCCCTTTTCACTGTTAAAGCTGGTCCTTACACCCTTCTTGACAACTTCAGCGCTTCCCTTGCTGCTGATGCTCTGGGTGTAAAATATTTTGCTAAAGAATTTTGCGTCAACATTGAACAAAATCAAGTTTTTAGCATAACATTCTCTCCGTCTACAAGTAGTGCAACTGATGATGATGTTTATGCTTTTATCAATGGAATTGAGGTCGTCTCCATGCCCACTGGTCTTTATTACTCTCCCGGTGATGATTTGGGTGCTCGTGTCGTTGGCAACAAGTTTCGATACTACATTGATAACAGCACTGCACTAGAGATGGTTTACCGCTTAAATGTTGGAGGGAGATCCATTTTGTCAGTCGAAGAAGATTTGGACATGTACCGTGTGTGGTCCGAGGACAAGAATTACTTGTTACAATCAGGTGTATTATCAGTTACCAGTACCACAAAGGCTGTGATCAAGTATGCTAACATACCCACCTACACTGCACCAATGAAAGTATACAGAACATCTTGGTCAATGGGTCAAAACAAAGTAGCAGATCAGATGCATAATTTAACATGGAAATTACCTGTGGATTTGGGATTCAGGTACCTGGTTAGGCTCCATTTCTGTGAGCTTGAATCCAAGACCACTGAGAGCGGCAGCCCAAGGGAGTTTTCTATCTTCATAAACAATCAGATTGCTGAGACTAATGCAGATGTAGTGAAGTGGAGTGGTGGGTACGGGGTTGCACTATACAGGGACTATGTGGTGAAAATAGAAGGAAACAAATTCGAGGGCAAGCATAATCTCATTGTAGCTTTGCAGCCCCAGCATGACTCAGATGCTGATCCAATCCTAAACGGTATAGAAATATTTAAGTTGGCCAACCCGGACAACATTCTTGCCGGTCCCAACCCCGCGCCAACAGCACATTCTTGCCGGTCCCAACCCCTGCATGGAAAATTGGTTTTAGCTTTTGGAAGCCACAATGTAATTACAACAGGTGTGATACTAATACTCACCCTCTTGAATATCATAGTTTACCAGTTAAATACTTGGGGATCAAACTCTGGAGAAAAGAACTTATCATCATCAACACTGTCAAAGGAGGGAGTGTGCAGACGTTTCTCATTTGCAGAGATCCAGTTAGCGACCAATAACTTTGGTGATGAATTCATCATAGGGAAAGGCGGATTTGGTAATGTGTACAAAGGGCTTATCGATAATGGAACCAAGACTGTTGCCATAAAGCGGTTGAAATCGGAGTCCAAACAAGGGTTTGTTGAGTTCTGGATGGAGATTGAGACCCTTTCGACAATCCGGCACGATCATCTCGTCTCTTTGATAGGCTACTATGAAGACTCCCAGGAGATGCTCCTAGTCTATGAATATATGGACAATGGGAGTCTTGCTGATCATCTCTACCAAACTAGAAGAAAGGGTGATGTCAATCCTCCTCTCTCTTGGGAACAACGGCTCATCATCTGCATTGGTGCCGCACGTGGATTGGCCTACCTTCATACCAGTAGGGACACCCATCATGGAGTCATACACCGCGACGTGAAAAGCTCAAACATACTGTTGGATAAAAATTGGGAAGCTAAGATTTCTGACTTTGGGTTGTCTAAAATGGACAATGCAGGCCAGTCACAAACCCACATTAGCACTGCCGTTAAAGGTACATTTGGGTACTTTGATCCAGAGTATTTCTTCACTTGTAGGCTGACAAAGAAATCCGACGTGTACGCCTTTGGTGTGGTATTGTTTGAAGTGCTTTGTGGGAGGCCGGCGGTTGATGTAAGACTTGAAGAGGAGCAACATAGTCTAGCACAATGGGCCAAACATTGCATCAGAGAGGGAACACTTGATCGAATAGTTGATCCCAGCATGAGGGAGCAAATATCACCTCCTTGCTTGAAGGTGTTTGCCGAAATTGCCACCAAATGCTTGCACAATAATCCAAATGAACGGCTTACAATGGCTGAAGTGGTGGCTGGCCTGGAGTATTCATTCTCAGTGGCAAGTGGTGGGGATGAGGTATATCCAACTGGGCAGATCTTGCCCACCCACAATTTGAGAATCTTCACATTTGCAGAATTGAAAGCCGCAACTAGAAATTTCGGAGCTGATAGAGTGTTGGGAGAAGGATCTTTCGGGAAAGTTTACAAGGGTCGGCTTGATGAGAGGGCGACATCTAAGAACGGAAGTGGAATGGTCATTGGTGTCAAGAAGTTGAGTTCAGATAGCATGCAAGGATTTGAAGCGTGGAAGGTAGTTCAACTGTACTCAGTCTGTCATTTTACTTATTTGATCTTGGGTGCTTTTAATTTGCCTTTCATAGCTCAATACGGAATACTTGTCATGTATTCAATCTCAGAATCATAGACTAGAATTTAATTATTTCTTCTTTTCATGTATGCCTAAATTTTCTAGATTTAGCTCTTCTCTATTGTCCACGTTCTTATAATATTATTGTAGTATGAGAAGTGAAACTATTCCTCATATTTCTAGATTTCCTAAGTGGAATTTATAGAAGTTCTTCTAAATGCTGTCATGTATTTGTTTTTTCGTTTATTTCTGCAGTCTGAAGTGAATTTCCTAGGAAGGCTTTCTCATCCTAACCTTATTAAGTTGCTGGGATACTGTCGGGAGGGTGAAGAGCTGCTCCTTGTCTATGAATTCATGCAAAAGGGTAGCTTGGACAACCACCTTTTTAGAAGTAAGTCTGTGTGTGTGTGTGTGTGAATTAATGCAAATGTGCTAACATACTAGTCAGTTGAATTCATTTAATTGGTTCACTCTACACCAAATGCTTTGACTAGTGCAGGGGGATCAGATGTTCAGTCACTTCCATGGGGCATACGGCTTAAGATTTTAGTGGGAGCAGCTCGGGGCCTGGAATTCTTACACACGGCAGGAAAACAAGTAATTTATAGGGACTTCAAGACAGCGAATATATTGCTTGATGCGGTAAGTTATGTGCAATCAACAGATTAATATCACGTGATATATAAAGGATTATGAACCCCTAAACGGATTCTAACATATTTTTTTCATTTGTGGTCCTTTTCTGCAGTCCTATAATGCCAAGATATCAGACTTTGGTCTGGCAAAATTAGGCCCCTCTGAGCGTAATTCCCATGTGACAACACGAATTATGGGCACATATGGCTATGCTGCTCCTGAGTATATTACGACAGGTAACCCCCCTGAACCTTTTTGAGCTTCATCTTTTCTAAGGCTAAATGTTGATCAGAATCGAAGTTCTGGCCTTTGCATGATCTAAAGCCACTTGAGCTTGGCCATAACTAAATAAATGGTGTCGTGTTATTGACATCATGCTTATTTAACAGGACATCTGTATGTAAAGAGCGACGTGTATGGTTTTGGCATTGTATTGGTTGAAATGCTAACAGGCTTGCGGGTATTTGACCCAAAACGTCCAACCGGGCAACATAATCTGGTTGACTGGATCAAACCACGATTATATAACAGAAGGAAGTTGAAAGGCGTAATGGACTCCCGGTTTGAAGGGAAATATCCTTCCAGAGCTGCTACACAAATGGCTCAACTTGCTCTAAGATGTCTTCATCATGACCCCAAAGAAAGGCCATCAATGAAAGAAGTTGTGGAGAATCTAGAACTGATTGAAGCAATTAATGAAAAACCAAAGATCTAGCCTAGCAACCTTTGTACCATCGTTCCCAAGAGTAAGATAAAAATCAAGCCTAGCAACACTGATCACCACTAGAGTGATGACTTTGATACTACACTTCCTATGAAGAGCTCTTTGCATAGATGTTTTTGTTGGTTGTTTCTTACATTTAACTACCCTATTTCCTCTATTATTCAATGCCTCCATGTATGTAATGAATTTTGGTCTTGTAGTGGTGATTTGTGTTAAGCATTTGAAACTTTTAGCACTAAAACTTTAGTTATTTCTGTAGTTTGTTGAGACATCGTTGTTTATGCTTGGGGGAATTTATTTGTAGTGACAATTAGGAGTCCTAATGATTGTGGTGATGATGAAGGTCCTTATATTGCTTAAATCAAGAGTTGGACTTGACTTCAAGGTAGGATTATTCCTGAGACTCTTCCATCTGAGCAACCTTGACAGATAGTCATTTTTCTTTGTTTTAATTTTCTTTCCATGATTCTTTTTTTGTGTTAACTTATATTGACCAAATTGATCCAAAATATAGCAAGTGGATGAAAATAGGCACACCAATGAGCTCTCTAAAAGACCTCTCATATTTTGAGATTGTCAAAAGTTGCTAGAATGAAAATAAGGCACTCCAATGGACTCTCAAAACTTGGAATGATAATTGTGTCAAAAAATAGCATTTTGAATGAAATGCATCATTGGAGCATAATTGCAAAAATGTAGAATTTTGACACTGGAACACCTCTCAAAATATCGATTTGGCATGGAAATTTAGCATTTTACATTGGAGATGCTCTAACTGAAAAACTTGAATGGGCTCAAGAAAAATTGGGAAGAGCAGAGGAGATGAGGAAAGAACTGAGGAAAACAATTTCTGAACTATGCTCCGAGTTAGCCAAGAGCTAGTTGAAGACCTCTCCTACTGTCACAAAAATCTCTTTGCCGAAGCTGAAGCAAAACTGCAGTACACGGTTGACTCACCCTCTATTTATCCCCCATTGATACAAAACCCATGCTTGATGTAGGTGCATCTTCATCTTTTCCGGCCACGGTTGCCGCCCCTGAAGTTTATCCAGCAGCTCAGGTAAACCCAATTTCCAATTCAAATTTTGGTTCTCAGAAAGATACAGGCTGTAAATTGATGAAGTTGAAATCTAGAGGACTTCACAATGAGAGCTTTAAAGAACAGCACAAACCAATACACTAAAATGAAAAACATTGCTACAGGATTCATAATTCTTTACTTTACTTGCTGAAAATTCATAACTTTACTTGCTGAAAATTCATAATAAATAATGAGAATCACATTATATTTGACAAATGCTAGAAAGTAAGTTGAGGTTGAAAACTTTCTGTCGATACATCAAGACAATCATACAACTGCAAGTTTCCTCTAAGCTCTCAGCTGGAAAATACAAAACAAAACAAGCACGATAAACTGTTACCGACGCAAATAACATAGTCAATTAAGTCCAGATTTACTAAAACCATAACTGCAAACAGTTTGGTAACAGCATGTATGTCTGCGTGAGTTATGAGTGATCTTACACTGTTAGGTTATCTGATATATTTGCTCTGGTAAGAACAATATGAATCATAATCTGTATTGAGAAGGTGAGAAGTATAAGACAATCCTAAAATCTGAACATAACGCACCTATAACATAAATGTGAGTACATGATGGTGCTTAAGGGAGAGATCCATACCAACAGCACTGTAGATCAAGGATTAAGTTAAAGATGGAAAATTGAGAAAGTGAAATATTTTATAGTTCAACCCAAAAAACAAAAGAACAAATGTCAAAAGCTTGCCCTGATGTTCAAAGTAGTATACCTGGTTTTTTTTGTATATAAAAATAATTATTATAATAATAATTAAATAAATAAAATTATAAAAAATAATTCTTATAACTGCCTTGAATACTAAACAATTAAATATATTAAAGAGTACTGTTGAAAATAAGAGATTTAGAAGCTTCTATGCAAACAGACTTGTAAAGATGTTTTAATAGAATCAAATATAAAATTATTTGCAGATATTCGTATAAGACATCTAAAGCCTCAGTGGGAGTTTAATTCTAGGGTTTATCTTCTTTCAATTCCATTTTTGCTGGGCTTAATTCAGAGGGAGACAGAAAACAATTAATATCACATATTTACAGGAAAACAAATCACAAAAAGACGAACAGAGTTTTATTGAAGTGGATAAAATGCATTGATGCAATGGCTTAAATTACTGAACAAAGCAGAGAGTTGGTATTTTTCAAAGATTAGGTAGTTTAGTCACTGGCTTGAAAATAAACTTTTATAACTTAGGAAATGGTTAGTCTTTAAATGAGGTTGTTTGGAAATTGTATGCTGATGACTTTTCGACTACTTGTAAGCTCTAAGGCAAAAAATATGATTTAACAATAAGATAACCTAACAAACGTAACATAAATGGATAAAATAACATGAAAAAATTAAGAAAAAGTAATTACATTAAAGCATTAAAAAAAAAAAGAAATATCACCTAAACCAGATGTGTAACCAGATGGAAGATGTTATTTTAGATAGCCCAATTTTATTTAGCTGGTTGTACATTTGCAATAAGATAGTGATGCTTTATGTTAATTTTTAGTTGTCAAATCTTTCTTTAATTACTTTACAGAATTTCTACTCCTATTCCCACTAAATTAAATTTCAAAGAGTTATTGCAAACCAACTGATATAAAAGCACTCAACAAAACAATACTAAAATAAAAGCAAGGGAATGAATTATGGAAAAAAAAAAAAAAGGCAAGGGAATGAGGGGAGACGGAATTTGTGCAGCATGCATACAGCATAACAAAATCAAATGAAAAGACATTAATATTTAAATAAAATTCATGTCTTTTCTCTTTTGCCTTATGATAAGAATATGCAGTAAAGAAGACAAACTAAAAACCAAATAGAAGATCTTTTAGCATTCTTTTGAAATTGGAGACACAAGGTTTTTCGTCTTCTTTAAGCTAATATACATGCATAGTGAAGTGTTCAACTAGAGACAAGGGGTATTCCACATCTTGTAACGTTGAGGATATTTTTCACATCACACACTATTTACTATGCATGTACTTTCACGCTCTAAAGGATTGCAATTAGAATACATTAGAATATTAGGTTTTGGATTGAAAGAATGGGAAATTAAGCATTGTAGCCAATCAAGCATAAAAATTCTCATTATATTCTATCCTTTATAAATGCGAGTTCATTGTCAACAATGTTGACCCTATGTTGAGCATAATCATCCATTAAAGTCAGTCCTAGATTGAGCTTAATCATCCATTTAGAAATATTTCTCCTACCATTTAAGAATTTGGGTCAACTATATGTCGCACAATTTTAATGTAGACATTATTTTCCTCCACCTATCTCTTATTTACAAGATGTGCCATATACAATTTATTAGGTAAGATCATCTAAAGGATCAAGTAGAGCAAAAAGGCTAAGGTGTGAAAAAAGGGGAAGGAAGAAGTTGAGAGAAAATGGAAGGCGAGCAAAGCAAGGCAGGCAACAAAAACTAAGAGGGCAACAATGTAAAACCAAGCAGCAGAAACTATGATTGCAACTGGGCTATTTAAAGGACAAAGACAAACTGGGCTATAGAAAATAACAACCAGCAGGAAACAATATTCCAACAGAAACTAAAATGCAAGACAACACTATTCTTCCACCAGCGGGCATATTTTCTAAATGCAAACAAACATAAAGCATCAATTTCAAAACATCAGAATTTCAGCCAAGATCATAATCATGGATATTCCATACAAGCTTGAGCCAAATATTAGAACGGGCAAGTTTAAACTCCATCCAGTCTAAGTAGTCTAAATCTAACAGCATTGAAAATTGCAGCTTGCAAATAAAACATGCATAAACACATAAAAATTATATTTATATCATTCATAAACGTATAAATTCACATATATATAATATTAAACAATTACCTCTGAAAACAAGTACGACTAAGTTCTTCTAACAAACTTGGCAGGCCATGCAAATATTCCTCCCTTAGCTTCTTAAAGCTAAATGTAGTGTCTAACATACTTGCGGTCTTGCAAAAGCTAGCAAAAACAAAAAAAATTTAACATATTCGAATTATTGTAATTCTGTTTTTTGTTATACAGTCCTATATTTTCACTTCCAGAATTATACCATATGTGTTTAGCTAAAATAAAGAGGAAAAAAAAAAAAGGCAGAAAAATAATAAGAGATGAATATGAACAAACGAGCAAAAAAAAGTACGTAGTAAATGACTAATAGAAGAACTTAATTCAAAAACGTGAGGAACAAAAACCAAATGCAAATTTGGGACCCATTTTCATCCATTACGCAGAGAATCTGTTCACCTTTAAAATTTGCCAAAAAAATTTAATGCTGCAAAAGGGTATAAGGACTCCATTCAAACAAACAATGGCCCATTAACTAAGGAATACCACTATATAGCAATGCTTTATATTATACCAGCACTGTACGATAAAAAAAATAAAAATAAAAATAAAAATAAAAATAAAAATAAAAAAACTACTAGTTGAATCTGCACTCAGAATTCAATTAGAGCTAAACTATATAGAGTGTTTATGCAGTCTAAAGTCTATTTGACTATGGCCTTTCCTACAATAGGTAACAGAGTTGCAAGTAAAAACTACTAGTTGTGATATTTTAAGTGATGTTATATATTAAAGAGGAAAAATAAAATAAAAAGGGAGAGAAGAATTTTATTACTAGATCAAGCCCAAAAGGGGAGACAACCTAAACTTCCACTCTCTATCAAAAATAGGACCTAAATCATGCTTTCAGGGGTTTGCTTATATGCTTTGTGCTAGTTTATCTCACAAAAAAAAATTCAAAGATTAGGTTAATGATTGCAATTTTGAATTTCTGTGAACTGTAATACTGAGATGAAAAACCCCTTGTCCGTGAGAAAGAGGGAAGACCATGAGAAATAGAAAAGATGAGGCTCTTACCGGTGGTGACGACGATCGTAGGTCGGCGGGGTGAGAGAAATGAGCGTGAATTGCAGACATAGTAGACGTTTGGTTGGAATTAGGGCTTGAGTGGTTTTTTTATTTTTTTATTTTTTTATTTTTTTGGGGTACTGGTGCGAAATTTTAAAATAACCTCAAAAAATTCGAAGATTAGGTTAATGATTGCAATTTTGAATTTCTGTGAACTGTAATACTGAGATGAACTAGGATAAAACACAAAAAAAAGAAAAAAAAATCGTCCAGAACTATTGATCAACCAGCAACAAATTCCCCGAAATTACAAAACTTGAAAAAAAAATAATTTACACAGACTTTTCCGCTCTTACTTTTAAAAATATCTTACTTTTAAAAATATCATACACAGACCTCCCTTACGTGTGACGGGCTGTTAAATACATTAACTGATCTGTCAAAATACCCTAATATTATCATCTTAAATTACTAAAATACCCATAAATTTTTTATAAAACTGACGTCATATATATATATATATATATATATAGATTTTTTTTTTCAATTCATGTACTTTCCCAGAACTCGCTGGAGAACGAAGAGGTCGAAACTAAATCCATTAACGGCGGTCACGGATTTGCTCGTGAAATCAAAGAACATGCTGTTAGTATTGCTGAATTGAAGGCAAAAATAGCTGGACGGACTACTGACTATAGTTTCGATCTCGGGGCGGGATCCTGTCAACACAGCTTCAGGCTGGTGGAATTTGCGGGCTACTTCGTTTCATAGTGCCCTGTCCTGAAATGCAGAAAGGAGGTTTTTGTTCCTCTACCCAAAGTCTCAGTCGAGAGCGAAGTAGAGATTGTTATGGCAGTCCGTGTTCCTTCGTTCGTGTCTTGTTACGATCTCTCTAGGTAAAATACAGGATTATATACAGAACAATGTATATAATATATATATACACACACACACATATTTATATTTCTAAAAATTAATGTTTCTCCATATATAAAAATTGTGAATCTCCATATCTAAAATACACACATATTTATATTTCTAAAAATTGATGGGTCTCCATAAATAAAAATTGTGAATCTCCATATCTAAAATACACATATTTATATTTCTAAAAATTGATGGGTCTCCATATATAAAAATTGTGAATCTCCACATCTAAAAATTGATGGGTTTCATCTGGATTTGTAGTGCAATAAAAATAGAAGTAACAAAAGTACCAGCCAGAGGCTACACTTTTTCCCCAATCTACCATCCAACAAATCCCAATCTACCATCCGTGAATGAAGATGACGACTCTAGTGCAACCAAAATAGCTCCTTATAGGATATTATGGCGATGATTTGGTGGTGATGGTTAGCTGTACAAGCCTGTTGGTGAAGTTCAACTCAAGGTTCGTATTGAAATTCCTTCAGTGAGCTCTGTGTAATGGTTATATTGGTAGGGATGAAGGATTTTAGTATTTTTTTTTTTTTTTACTTTTTAGGGTTAAAAATGTCTTTGGCTACAAAGAAGGGTAATATGGGAATTTTAACTTATTCCATACATGACATCAGCAGAATCAGTCGTTGACTGACGTTGACTCTAACAGAATGGAGATTCGTGTAGGATATTTTTAAAAGTAAGGGAGGTCCGCGTAATTTCCGAAACAGAAAAGGTGCTGCCTATAATTATGGCAAACCATAGGGGAGGTCAGTGTAAATTACCAAAAAAAAAAAAAAAACCATGGACTATCATGTTTGTTACAGATCACCCCATCTGACGGGCTTTCGATCAAAACTTACAGGCAAAGGACCATGTGGTTGTCATGTGACAAGCAATGTATAATTTAATAACTAAAATGCCCTTATGTGTGGGAAAAGCCTCTAATACCCCTTATTGTAATGATTATTATTACTTAAACACCTTTTCACTATTTGTTACAGCCAAACACTCCTTTAGGCCATTCTGTATATATACGCGCGTGTGTGTTCATCTTCTTCACAGCACATCTTCATGTTCATCTTCTTCACAAGGCATGTACTTCTCCTAAATATTATACCCAAACACCTCATAATCCAGTTTTTCCCAAAAATCCCAAATTTCTGTTATAGTCTCTTCCTGATCAATGTGCTCGAACAATTATTTCCCAAAATTTCGTAACTTATATATATATATAGAGAGAGAGAGAGAGAGATTTCTTCCCCAAAAATCTGTAACATACTTTATACGTATAATATTTTGTAACCCTAAGTGACTGTTAGAGCCCAATTCCACAATTTCATAATTCTTAAACTGTAGAACCCTAGCCCATTTTGACAAAATCCCAAAATTGAATTCCCAAATCAAGACTATATCAAGCACGAAAGGTATACCAGCGACAACAATGAAGAAGGATAGGCACCGGGGTGATTGGGGTTAAAGAAAAGAATATATATCTGTGTGTATGTGTGTATATATGCATGAAGTAGCGGTAAAGATAATGGTAGAAGTTGGTTGGTGGGTTGGGTTTGTGGGGTTAGATCGATTAGGTTACTGTTCGCTATGAATTATTTGAGTTTCTAAAGAGAAGATTTGGTTGGTGGGGTGGGGTGGGGTTGTAATGACCCGAATCCATAGGTCCGAACCGCTAGCCGGGTTGTTACCCGAACCCGAGGTTACCTAAGTTAATGCCGGCAAGTCTAGTGTCAGTACATCACTCTTACATCATAAATATGCCCCATGAAGGCCCTAAGCCACCTCCCAAGACTCAGGAATAGGTGCACCAAAAGAAGAAACAAGAAGCACCAACAGCAGTATTTCGGTCGACCAAAGTGGAGCTTCGGTCGTTCGAAATGGTTCTTATACCGGTCGACTGAAATGGTCATTTCGGTCGGTCAGTTATGACCCCAACAGTAGATGAAGCTACTGGAATGATCGGTCAACCGAAATGCCCATTTTGGTCGACCGAAATCCCCATTTTGGTCGACCGAAATGGCCCTGTAAGCTGCAAAACTTCAGTTGAACTGCAATGAACCTGAGAATGAACAAATGTCTTTTATGGAGCTTTACATTGAAAGAATTCTACCCAAACATATATGAAATTATTGAATGCAACCTCTCAATACCCAAACACATCATGATACATGATTCATTACATGAATTAACATCCATAATCAAGGTACTTGATGTAAAATAAAGTTACAGGCCATGAAACAAGATCAAAATATATAAAAGAACCATGACTTACAATTGTTGTTACAACATTACACAACTACATTCGATTAATCACTAAAGTACAAGTTTCATGGTTCCATACAAAAGATAGCAAAATGATAATCCCAGTCCCGTCTAGATTTATGGTGGATAGTTGTCCGCCACTTTTTTTTTCGATCCTAAAAAATGTTAAATAATAGGGTAAGCTAAACACTTAGTAGGAAGTATCTAAGACACACCTCTTATGACCCCGTGAATCCACGCAAAAGAATAGGTAAAAAGGACATCGGGATCGTACTGTACCGGGGATTCAATCCATAACCACAACGTCAAATATACATATTGTAATGACCCGGTCTTTTTCCTCCTTTTCCATTTTGGTTGATTTTCTTTTTTCGTCTTTTTCCTATTTTGTTTTTTCCTTATTTCGTCTTTTAGTCGTTTTTCATTTTTCCTTACATAACCTCACTTGTTGTGCTCGGATTTGATCCCGATTTGGCATGCATTCATGATATTTGATTTTCATGACATTGGTATTTTTACTTTTCTTGAAAAGCATGCTAGATTATTACTTTTCTTGTAAAGGGCATGAATACATACTTTAATTATTTATAATTTTTGGGGTTTTAGTGTAATTTTGTAAAATAATTATTTTTCATTTTGGGGACCTTTTTGCAATTTATTTTAGAAGATATTTTGAAAAAGGACCATTTTGTAATTTTTGGAAA